CACATTTTGGGGGTATTTGGGTAATATTTAGGCCTTACCAGAGTACGGCACGGAGCACAGATCCTCCTCGGTGCCGTACGTCCTCCACTGCGAGCCGCGCGCCTGGTCCCCCCTGTCCAGGGAGGAGTTGCCGGGGCGAGGGCTGAGATGCTGGGCGAGCTGCTCCCCGAGGCCGCGGCAGCTCCAGCGCATGTGGACGGACTCGCGGTCGCACTCGTAGGTGGCCAAGGGGTGCAGCCCCGCCGTGGCGTTGGCCCCGTGCCACGACACCCCCAGGCACTGCATGGCCCCCACGTTGAAGAGGCGATTTCGGGAGACCCATTTCCACTGCTGGGCCGGGGCGCTGGCGTTGCAGCCCTTGGCGAGCCTCACCAGCGAATCCTTCGTCTCTAGGCAGCCCTGCGCGCCCGCATTGTAGACGAGGAAGACTTTGGAGTCTGGGGAAAAACCACGGGGAAAGGGTTAAAACAGGGATTTCGTATGCCATGCATCGCCCCCAGCCCTGCCAGAGCACCCTGGCTCCCTTTGTCTGCACAGCAAGTTTTGAGGTCCATCCCAGCACGCCAGGGACCACTGCTTCCCCACAGAAATAAGCCCAGGGTTTGCCTCGATGCCCATCCTCAGGGTGCTGGGCTCCAGGCAGAGTGCTATTGGATGGGTGCTTGCACCCAGAGCCACCTCAAGCCTTGTGGCATCCCCACGGAGCACCAAAAAGTGGCTTTTGGGCTTTTTGGGCTCGCCTGCTCTAACAGCATCACCAGAGCCAATTTCCCATCAGCTGCAGCATCCCGAGGCACCACAGTGACCGTGCATTGGAGGAGCCCTCGGCACCAGCCATCTGCTCTGGGCAGAGAGGAATGGAGCAGGGAAATAGAGCACGCATCCCTCATTTTATGTGTATTTAGGGACCTGTTAAAAAAAACCAAACAACTGCCGAGCAAACAACGCTGGAGGACGGTCTTGCATCGCATGGACAGGGCGTGATGGATGTGGCTCCAGTGGGCACGGCCCCAGTCCCAGCAAATACAAAACCTGGGATGGGGACCCTCCGAAATCCCAGCCTGGGCATTTGGGAGGCAGGAGCGGAGCGAGGGGGATCGCTGCCAGCAGATACAGCGTTAGCGCAGCTGTGGATGGGGAGAGAAGCTGAGCCCTGCCCCATCGCAAGGTCCTGCTCCTGTGATGGCCCAACCCTGCATCCCCAAATAATCCCCCAACCCCAGCATCACCGAGGGCCGCCCCAGCGCCTGAATCCATCTCAAAACCTGTATAAACCAGTAAGCCCATGATGTTACACTGGAACACGTTGCTCCAGCTGACGTGTCATTTTTAAAGATACTTTATTTCTCCAAATGCGTGTTTCCCAGCTAAAAAGCCACTCCCGGGGCTCTGCGTAGCCATTTCTCGCCCCAAGCAGCACAGTGAGAAGACAACTTCTGCCAGGGTGTTTTCTGTTTCAAAAGGGACCCATTTTTTTTGCACCACAAGCATCTGCCAGAAGTCAAAGCGAACTCACGGGCCCCGCTATATTTAGCTTTGGTTTGCTTTGGTTTTTTGCCATTATATGAACTTCTTGGGCCTAGAAGGTTTTCATTTCCTATTCCCCCACAACCTCACCCTGCCCCAGCTCTGTTGTTACAGGCGGCTCCGGCTCATTCGAGCAACAAATATCTCGGCTCAGGGAACTTTCCTGACTCGTCCCTGCGAGGAAAATAGAAATGGAGGAAGGAAGACACCCCCATTTCATTGCAGAGCTTCAGCATCGACCCGGCTCCAGAAACAAATGATGTAAAAGATGCATTCCCCAGCCCAGATGGCATCGGCGATGACCTCAAACAGACACAAGTGAAGCCTGTTTGGTGAAGGCAATGACTGGAAGAAGAAATGTTTAATCTCTCAGCAAACATTGTTCAAACCACGGCAAGCAAAAAGAAAAAAGCAAAAACTCAGATTTTTGCCTGGCTGAAGCTCAGGTCCCTCAAACTGGTGCTGCTGCTTCCTCAACTGGAGCTGGCTTGATCCTGACCTTGTCCCCACACCAAAACCCCATTTCAATGCCAGCATCACCCGTAGCATCACCCAGCCCATCACTCTCCTCATCCCATGTGCATCCCAGCACCAGCACTGGGGATGGGGTCTTTAAAGCCTTGTAGGGCGATGCCAGGATGAGGGGTCACGGGCTGATGCCACTGTGCTTGGCGAGGAGCCGAGCACCGGGTGCTAGCAACAGAAAAAGCTGTTGAAATAGCAGCGCCGTGGCCGTTGGCAGCAGGGGTCAGCAACGGGACAGCCTCCTGCTCATCTGCTCACCCGGCTGTGGAAAAACATTCACAGCACAGAGGAAAAGCCCTGGAGACAGTGGCAGGAGTTGGCATGGGGTGCTCAGCACCGCAGCGGGGCCGTGCAGCATTGTGCGATGCTCGGAGGAAGCCGTCCCGACTTGGCAGGGGCAGTCCCAGGGCCGGAAAAGCATAAAATGGGATTTTACTCTAAAAAGAGAAGACCTGGAGGTAGGAAATTACAGGGTAAGGGTTTTGGGCTGCCACCGTGCTCTGTGGGCAGCTCAGCCCATGGCACCTTTGCCTGAAGCAGGCAGAGGAGGGCACCCGATGTGCCCCCACTGGGTCCCACTGAGCCCTGGAGGAACGGGAAAGCTTTAGCACCAGCTCAGCCCTTGCCCTCCCAGGGCTTCCAGCTTCTCCCCTGGCACAAACCACTGCACACTGGGAGCTGCTCCTGGGGTACCGGGGGTACCACCAACAGGAGCTCCGTGCATGGCATCAAGGACACGTGCTGTCCTTCACCCCAAATACACACCACTTTTTCACTTATTCACAGGGAATTCAAGGCTGACTCGGCCCTTGTCAGCGTCCATGACGTTGGCAGCAGCACTTGGCGCAGCTCCTGATGCAACACAAGGAGATTTTGGCCTCCCCAACCCCAGCACCCATATGGCCAAAGCCAGTGGGCTTTGACACTTACAGAGGAAACAGCTCCCCAGGGACCAGAAGTCTTTTTTTCGTGGTCCCCCTTCTGGCAAATCTGGGCTCTTCCCAACCATCTCCTGGTCACTGCTTGTGGAGAAACAGGGCCACAGGTGCTGTGCCACCAAGAACCAGCCTGGCCGGGGCTGGGTCCAGCTCCAACGATGCTCAGCACCAAAACCAAGTGCCCGAGTGAACCCTCCCTGCTCCCAGCCGGCTGCTGATGAACAGAATGGATGTGGAGCTGGGTGGGAGGGAGCCAGTTTGTATTAATGGATTCCTTCTCCCAAACTGGCATCCCACAGAGCAAACCTGACCCTCACACAAGGCAGCTCCAGAGGAGCATCCCCAGCCCCCCACCCTGTGCATCCCTCCTGCATCCTACACCTTCCGAGCAGGGCCAGCTCAAAGCAGCTCTGCTCCATCACATCCCATCCTCAAGGGAGGTTTTACGCCCCCGTGCTTGGCTCCAGGTTCTCTTTTTTTGTTTTTAATTTTAAAAAAAGCAAGTTTTTAGCCAGCAGAAAGTCTGAATTAAAGGGGACTCAGCTCAACCCTTCCCATGACGGCTTTACCACTCCATGGCAAATAAGGAAAGCTTCCCAACCTGTAATTTTGGGGGACGTAGGCAGCACCGGATGAGAGAGGCAACAGGGGACAGGGAGGCTCCAGGGGACAGAGGTGGCTGTCGGTGGTGGCAGACACAGAAAGCACCATGGCACAGCACAGACGTGTGTCCTCGGTGTCACCCTGCCCCAAGTGCATCCCAGCCCGGCCACCCACACCAGGACACCCAGAGCACCCCTGCCCCCTTCATTTGTCCCCCTCCCATCACCAGCACCAAATGCAGGGAGTAAATTTAAGAGTGAACTGAAGCTGTGGCCGGATCTTGGTCCCTGTTATCCTGCCCGGTCCCCTGACTTGGGATCGCCCTTTATTTGGGGTGCCATAAAAATCCCAGCTCTGAGCCCGCACAGCGCAATGGGAACGATCCCATCCTCGGAGGTTTCTGTGCTGTGGATGTGGCCAGGGATGTGGTTTGCTCCCAGAGCTCCTCAGGGGCTGCAGACCCCCGTGCAAGGACAGCAAACCTGCTAACAAACAATTCAGATTTTTGAGCCCATGTAAAAGTTTTACCCGTAACATCCTACAGCAAGACACCCACCCTTCACTCGGATGGCAAATAAACAAGACTCCTTTGAGCCTGAACTCCCAGTTTCACACGCTCTCACCCACTGGAAAACCAGGCAGAGCAGCCCCAAGCCACCTGCTCCAAAACAGTGGCTTTTCAGCCCGTTATTGCTGCCCGAGAGCGAGCGGCAGCTCCAAAACCCACAGGCACCGTGGGAGGAAAAGCTGCGGGAAGTGGCAGCTCATTCCCAATAAACGAGGGGGAGATGCACCAGGTTTGTGGGGAGATCAGCAACAGAGAAACAAAACCCCCTGGAATAAAAAGCAGAAAAAGAGATGGAAAGTGTTGCTTGTTGAATACAGGAGGGTGTCACTCAACAGAGCAAGCCTCTGTCGGGCTCAGCTTGCACAGCCCTGCAGGAGGGGAGGGAACCTCTGGGACAGGGAGACCCAGCCCAAAATTCACCCTCCAGTGACTCTTGGGAGTGCAAGACCCCAGCACTGACCCAGGTGGCTCTGCTCCAGCTTAAATCCTGTGTTATCAGATGAAAATACAGGAAAGGAGCTCCCAGCAAAGCCCAGTGCTGGCATCTGCACCCCAGCAGCCAGTCCAGGTGTTGCTGAAGCCAACCCCAAGGTCTCAGCACAAAGAGGAGCCAGAGAATGGCCTTGGCTATAAAGAGAAGCAAATTTTGGCCCGAGGAAGTATCCTGTGTGTCCCTCCACAGCCTGGGAAAGGGAAGCTGCAGTGGTACCCATGGGAGCTCCTGAGAGCCGAAGCATCCCTGCTGCCATCAACCATGGGGCAAGAGAGAAGCCCCAGCCCATGGAGAAGGCATCACTTCTCTGCTTCACCCTTCAGTTGGTTTTGGGCATCAATAAACTCTAAGCAACCCCTTGAAGAGGAACTTCGGATTTATAAAAAGGGGAAGGAAACGCAGACGGTATCGGCATCCTCAGGGCACGCCATGAGCTTCTGGACTGGGAGGAGGCACTGGCACCGCTGCCGTCTGCTCGAGGACCGACAGCAGACACCAACCCACCACCTCTGATGCTCCAAAAATAGTGGTTTGCACCAAAACAGCAGCACTGCCCAACGTCCCACAGGCTCACCCTGACCCAGCACATCTCCAGGGCTCGGCTGGGAGCAGCTCTGGGTGCTCAAAGTCAAGCTTCAGAGTAAGAGGGGAGTCGCTGTTCTGGTTTTTAATAAATCACAGGGAATAAGGAGCAGATCTCACTATGGGGAAGTTGGCCTGGTTGGGAGTAAGAAGCAGCAGGACCTGCACCTGGAGCTGAGAAGCTCCTCTTGGCTGGCCCAGCCACTGTTTATGCAGCGGGAGCCATAGGAGACGAGCTCCTTACGTGGCCGTGACCACAAAGGCCACCAACCACCCTGCCTGCTCTGCTGCCTCCCAAAGCTCTTGGACAGGGTCCATGTACGGTTCAGCCTCTCTGCAGACGTTAAAAAGTCCATTCTCCCTGCACCCTGTCTGGGATGCAGACAAATAAAGGTTTTCCACAGGGGATGCTTGCCCGTGGGCAGCTCAAGTGACTCGCCCACAGCGGTGGCAGGGGACAAGGGAGCCAGGAGCCCCAGCATCCATCCTCCAGTACCCAAAGGGTGGAACGATGTGAATTTCCCCCCAGATCCTGCATGCAAATGGAGGTGGAAGCCCCACGCTTGCTGACTGCCCAGGAATGCAGGGAGAGGAAGGCAGCACCATCCATCCAACGGGCTCCAGCCGGGATGGACCCACCGAGAGCACAGCAGGGAGCAGCAATGGACGGGGATCCTCTGATCCCTCCTGGGACATTGAGAAAGTCCCATCCCATCCACATCTTCTTCTCATCAGCCACAAAATCCCGGCAGTGGCAGCCTCGGCCATGTCCCAGGGGGGTCACTCTGGCCCCAGCTCGTCCGCCTGCCCTCAATTTCCTGGCCCCAAAGCATCGCCCACCAGCAGCACGGACACCCCTGGTCAGCAAATCCATCCAAGGGCATGACATGACATGTGGGACAGCCCTGATACACATCCTCGTGGACAAGGTTCCAGCAGAGCTGGCTGAAAACTACCACATTTTTCAATGCTACTAAAGAAACTCCCTCAAAATAAAATAAAATTAAAAAAAAAAAAATCCGAAGATTTTTCCTCCTTTGTTTCTGCAGCTCCGTTCCTGATATTAACACCCTGAACATCACCACCAGTGGCTCAGGACACGGATCCCCTTTTTACACCAAGACCAAGCACACCTGCACAGCGAGGATCAGCCCTCAGTGCTTTTTTAAGTTAAAATGATGTTTAACACGAAGCTTTTCTCACTGGGTGCTCTTTGCCTGCCCCACAACGAGCACTCACAGGCAGGACTGGGGTAAACAGGGCTGCTCCCTACAGAGCCCAAAGTCAGGATTCAGATGGAGGAAACAGCTCGATCTCCACATTCCCAGCCTCAGCACCATCCTGAAAATGCACCATTTTACACAAAAAATCCCATTTATGTCCCTGTTGGGACAGCACGAGGTGCAGCGCAGGACCGAGCTCTCACCGGGATGGGGACGAAGGGAGAAAATTCCTGAAAAATGCCCTGTGCCCCCTGCAAACAACCAAACCTTCGCTCCCGGGCTGAACAGTACTCCCAAGAATTTGCAAGTCAATCCCCTAATCATTTTCTAATCCTTAATTAATTAAAGATGGGTCCTTTAAGCAAAAGAGCATCTGTGTGGGTCTTTTTTGGGCTCCGAGCAATCTTAAGAATGAGAAAAATGTCAATGCTCGGCGGTCTCGGCACAGTTCAAGTTGGTTTCAATCTCGCTCCTCGGCCACACGTGAGGAACCAAATTTTACAAACTGCTGAAACGACTCTTTGAGGGAACGGATGGGTCGGGATGGGCTTGATGGAGCAGAGCAGGGTGCGATGCAGCGCCAGGACCCAGGGCCGAGCTGCGGACGTGGGCAACCCTCAGCTGCCCCGCTCCAAGCACCCTGGGGCCAGCATCTCCCACAACAGATTTATCCACTGGCAAAGATGATTTAGCAGACAGTGATCACACCCCCTTGCAGCCATTTGCTTTGATTTCAGGGCAAAAAGCTTCTCCATAAAATATTTAGGGAAGAGGGAAGGCAGGAGCGTGCCTCTGCCCCGCAGGGAAAGGCACAGAGCCCAGCCAGAAATCAAGTGGGAGAGAGAAACTGGCAACGTGGATGTCACTGTCAATGGGACCTCACACCTAAAAATGCCACCTCGTGTGCTGGTGTGGCGTCCCGAGGGAACCCTCCTGGGGCCACTGCACTGCCCTGGGTGGCTTTGGGGCCAGGGGACAGCACTGCACCGAAGGCTGAACCTCTTTGGCGCTTCATTCTTTCAATTCTTGCGCAAGCAGCCACCACTTGGCCCCACCACCACGTCCCTGTCCCGTCCTGTTGCTGAGGCTGCAATCGTGCGAGGTCCCCGCTGTTCCCTGCCAGGCACGGAGCTGCTGTGCTCTCAGCGGCCAAGCTGACACCTCCGTTCCCCTTTCCTGCTCCCAAATAACCCAAAGAAGATCCGAGTTACGATTTCTTGGAGCTGCACTCACCACGCAACAAGCTATTTCCATTGCAAAGAGGAAAACAAGGAGAGAGCTTCACATGAGGCTGCTCTGTTTGATTTTCAGGCTGTAAATTCTGCCCCAGGTCCCTTGCGCCCCCTCTCCTCCCCAAACCAATGCCGGTACCATGTCCTGCCTTGCAGCCATGGTGGGATGGGAGCTGCTGCCTCAGTTTCCCCAAGACAGATGGTGATGCAGCGGAGATATCCACAAACCTCCTGCCAAAAGCCCCGCTCCATCTTCCCGATTGTCCCAGGGGCGAGGATTTGGCACGAACCCCTCGAGGAAGTGTTGGCTCCCCAGGGAAAGCAACGTCGCCTGCCGGGCCAGCCCCCTCAAGAGCGAAGGCCCCCGGTTCTTGCAAAACAAGGGACACTTGGGATCAACCCATCTGGATCCCAAAATCCCAGCAGGGATCCTTTCTGAGCTGCAAACCCAGCTTGGTGCTGGGCAACGTCCTTCGGTGCCATCCCCTGCCTGTGCCGAGTTCGCTAGGAGCAATGCTGGGGAGAGCAGCGGAAAATTGGGGATGGGGAGGGAGAAATGAGGGTGTTGGCACCCACCCGCCAGCAGGATGCTCGGCTCAAAGCCGCCTTGTTCCTCGCCCTGCCCCGGCGTGGGGTCGGCTGCCACCGCACTCCTGCCACGAACCGCCAAGACAGAGGTGCCTCTGTCCTCGGGCTGCCCAAACCTGGATCCCACCGACATTTTTCAGGGCGAAACAGCCAGAATCGGTCCTTACAGGTAGCTAAACCCTGCTGAAATCAAGTAACCCCCTTAAAACCCGCAAAAGGAGGAATGCACGGCCCTCAAGGAAATGACGGGGAGGTTTAACAGGAATTTGGCTGCGAAGAGTTGAGGGTT